ATAATACATGCTTCCACTCACAGAGTGTCTATTTGACTGTCACAGGGGATTCTTAATGCCAATAGTACAGTCTCTCCTTTTCTGTATCATTACCGAAGCAGTGCTGTAAACGTGGGCAGTAAACAGAGCTTTTCAGCCAGACAAGAGAAACTGAGTTTTACTATGATAAGGAGGAGTGGCTGAAGTTTGGGCACTTATCATAGAATCATCACTTCTGCCACATGAAAGGAAGGGTTAAAACTAGACCGAGAAGTCAAGCTTGCTGCTATCCGTGGGGTTTGAAGCCAGCAATGGCTGTTTATGGGAGAGATTTCTTCCTACTCCTTAAACCCCAAGTGCTCTGTCTCCTCTCTCCCGCCCTCTCCAGGGCTGCAGAGCTGCCTATTTTGCTTGTGCCTAGCTAGTGTCAATCCTGGCAGCCAAACAGCAGCCAGGAGACTGAGTGGGCAGGCAGTTCCCAAGGCTTTACTCTAGCTCTGCTGACCTTGGGACTGTACAGTAAATGGCTGTTATTAGCAGGAGTGTGAAACTGCTGCTTCTTGCACATGTAGGGCAGTGCTTATGGGGGACATTTTGAGAGCCAGCTAAGTACTCTACACCTTATCACTACCTTGTGTATAACTGTAAAAATCCCTCTAGAAGCATTAACTGCAGGAAGAAAGTTGTAGCCATGCCTCTCCATTTGAAGGTACAGTTTGCCCTAATTCCCAGCTAATTACATAGTTCAGTCTTGCCCCGTAGTACAGCTGAGAAAATGGTGGGACATGGAAATGCCAGTTTTCAGGAGCTCTGCCATATTGCTGGGAGCCATTCACCACCTTTCCACTTTGGCTAGGTTGTTTGATACCACGTTGCCTTAAAGCCTCTCAGTCCTAGCTCACTCCACAGCTAAATCCCTGTACCTTCAGATTGTACAAAGTTCAACCATCTGAGCTCATTAAAAAAAAAAAAAAAGTACATGTGTGTGTTAGGGGGAAATGATGTTTCCTTGTGCTACATAGTTACTTTCTAAGTAAGCTTATTTTAGCCAAAAGGCAGGAAATTGCAGCATGCCCAAACAATTTAGGTACCAGCCCTGAATCAACTCCCCTAGTGAATCTCCCACACTTGTAAACTTGATGGGCGTCAGCCACATTTGTGTGCTTTCTTGCCATCAGTCACTAGCCAACACACTCTCCCTGTGGAGAGTTCCCCCATGTGACTGCTCCTTTGGAGGCCTTCTGACAACCAAGGAAATGGTTTAGCCTTCATGGAGTCATTCACGCCATCCAGACTTTCCTCAAACAAGTGATTTACACTTACAAAACAACCATCCACATACAAGTCCCTCTCTCAGTTTCTCCATCCTTCCTGAAAATACATGGAACAGTTTTGACCTTCTTGAAGGATGCTACTTCCAATATTGCCTTCACCAGCCTTTTGTGGAGGTGTCTTTTCTGAGTGGAGAAGCTTGTTTTAATAGCATTTTCTAGCATTGCCTCTTCTTGGGTTTTCAGCAGTTTCATAGGCTGCAGTTTACTCCAGATGGGCTCTACCATACTCCAGATTCATTACACTCACTAAGAGTTATCAGGTAGTCTTTGACCTGTAGTCTCTATTGTCCTATTAAAGATGGTCTCTATTTTTTTTATAGAGAGGTTTTTACCTCATATTTTTTTTATCATGCAATCTGTGGAGAAAGATACCCAGGATGTAATAATTTGTGATGAAAAACAACAAAAAAAACCCAACCCCTGAGTGCCTATGCTCAAATTCTTAAAGGTCTCCCATCTGAAACTTGAAAGAAGGCAAACTGATTTAGGTACTCAGCAAACAGAGCTCATACATTTAGCTAAATTGTACTGCCAAGCATCAGCTGCTCCGTGATAACTTACAGTGTGTACACTCATAGCTCTCAGCAGAGGTGAGAGGAAATGCAGTGAGCCTAAATAGTTTCTACTGGTGTTTAAAGCTAATGCTTTTTATTTCCCATTTGCAGTGTCTTGAGACACAGTTGCCACAGTTGCGTTGATGCATGCCAGCTCATTAAATTATCGCAACTCACTCATATATCTAAATTTGCTGATAGACAAGTGCAGCTTTTGAAGGTGCACTTTTAAGGGGTTGTAGGAGCCAAGCAGAATTTTCAAGAATTTTCAGTTTTCTTGTTGAAGCAAACAGAGATTTAGAGGTTTAAGATGCTTGGGTGGTTGGGTTTTTTTGCAAATTCCACCAGCCTACTAAATACCTCTGCAAGTCTGAGCAGCTCAGTCAGTTTAGAATATGGGATGGAGCCCTTGATCACTTGGGACTTTTCTTGTGAAGATCTCAAGATGCAGATCTGAGTTCTTCTCATTTGAGGAATATTTATATTCAAGCTTAGCCTGAATCCATTCTAAAAATTAAGTGAACAACAAAAAACAAATCTGTGCTTGAATCCCACCTCTTCTCAGAGTCTGAAGCTCTGTTGTTAATCCAATAATTTGCCACCCAGATATCTTTGGCTGAATTTTTTTATACTTGTTTTTGTGAAGGAGGGGGGCACTGTGTGTGTGTGGCGGGGGGGGGGAGGAATGACAGCTAATGGAAAATAATCAAAGTTCAACTACAGTTTACCTGCTAGCTGCACTGAGGTGAATGTGCAGCCCTGGCACAGTGTGATGTACATTGCATGTGCAATTCCAGTCAGCTGTCAAGGAGCCAGCAGCTCCTTGAAACTCTTCCAGGGGCCACTGTAGAGACGATATTAGGGATCTGCCATCCCTATCAGTAAGAGTTGTATTTATACACTTGGAAATTTTCTAGAGTTTTTGTTGTTTTGTTTTTTGTTTTTTTTTTAATTACGATTCTTGCACTAAAAAATCATTTTCTATACAGCCCTTCATTGAAAGACTATGGGAATGAATTGCACGTGCGTCAAGGAACCATTTACAAGGCCCTTACTACCCTGTTATCTGAGCACCTCCCACATTATTAAAAGGCATAAATCAGTAGAGCAATATAATCTCCCTTCCCTTGTTCCTTACAAATAAGTCTAGAAAAAAAGTTTTTTTCTAATATGTGCATGTCTAAGAGACTCTCTGTGTGTGCATGAAAAGTTATTGATGGAAAGGTGATGGAAGAACCGGGTTTTGTGAATTTGTGAAAGATGACAGAAATTAAAGAGGTAGCCTGAGACTTTCAATGTCCCGCTCTTCTACAGACCTCCTGTGTAGTCCAGGGGAAGTCACCTGTGCCCAGAACCACACAAGGGTTTGGCATTGCAGTGTCTAATTGCAGCCAGCTGCCTGCTTGGTATCTGCAGCCATGAGGGAGGTGGTTGAGCTACGTATGTGACTTGGGGTGGAGGGACAGGGAAAGGAAGGCTCCTCTGCATCCACTTTCCAAGAAGGGACCAGTCTAGGCTGCTCATTGGCAAATGCATGGGGAGAATTAATTTTTGTCCTGGTCCCAGCTGCAGGTACCTTATTCTCGGTGAGAGGGAGGAAGCTATCACTGAACAACAATTGCATCCGTGAATGAAAAAAATAGAAATTGGTTTCATTTTTTAAATTACAACCCAGAAAAATTTCAAATGGGAATGGACATTTTTCTGTGAAAAATGTTAATGAAAATAAGGTTTTTCCAACTGAAGAATCTGTCTCTCTCCTTTCACATTCCTCTTGTAGATGTCACCGATGAGGTGACTATCGGGGTAAGTTTCAGCTAGAATGGAAACGCCAGATGTCATCTCTTCACAACGCACTGCTTTGTTCTCTGTAGGACTGGTAGCGTGAGTCTATAGTAAGGGCACTGGCAAACTAAGCTCTGGTTCTAGAGACAGTAAAGGTTTCAGAGATACTCTTTAGAGTTCGAAAATGGGAAATACCATCAGTAATGTTAATATCTCTAACCTTTTCAGGTGTGCTCATTAAATGTGTTATTCATATTCCTTTTCAAAAAGCATTTTATATTCTCATACTGAACATGTCATCATCCTCATTGTAACACATACCAACCCCAGACAGACAGGAGTAAAGAGGCAGGCTGACAAGAATCCATTTAGCACCTAGAAGCTAGGTGCCTTTGGTTGCCTGCCCTTTAACCGCTCTAACAAGTCATCTCTCAGAGGCTGGCTTTGCTTTCAAAGTAAAATGCAACTACGTGACCATCTGAGGGGCCTAGACAGTTGGGCTATAAAAACCCTGTTGTTTCTGACAGCAGCAGAACCCACAGCTCTGTGCAATTCACTTTCCATATTTCATAGCTGCCAGTTATTATGCTGTGCTGTGCACACACACGTTGCAAGCAGGAAGTAGGAGCAGCTCAGCTCTTGGCTTCCCCAGTCTCAAGAGACTGCCATGAAACTGAAAAACACTAAACTAAAACCTAAGTATCTGTTAGACCTTTAATTAGCGACCTAAGGAGTATTTGCCAAGAGGAAATTTGAATTCAATTATCCAAATAGAAAGTATTTAACCTCTCAATAGCACTCAAGTAATTATAATACTTGGAGTTTTTTCCAGGAACCTTAAAAAAAATAAAAAACAAATTCAAAAATGATAGAAGGTGTCAGGTTTATATCACATGGAGTATACAAAGGAAAGCTGTAACATTGCCCATGCTTCAGACCCCCCATGTTAGCACAGAAAGGGCAGCCTCAAGCAGGGAGAGCAGGTTGCAGGATTCTTGATTTCCCCACTGAAGCAGCCAGCAACCATATCAAGGCCAACAGTGGTAGTTTTATGTGCATCAGCACAACAATAAACACACAACCGAGATCAGCAGGTCAACTCACACAGCTTTTAATGTGATAAAGATGCTCAGTCAATGTCAGAAGGACTAAGACACATCAGAAGCAGCTGTATATCCCAGTACATTTTGCAAACGTTAGTCGATACCAACCAAGCTGTTTGCATTTCAGATTACAGCAGCTGTTTCAGCCCTGATCCCAACTGTCCTTTCACTACACATCCACCCAAAGTTTCCAGAATTAATCCCAAGGAAAAAAAGTCAATATTTTTTTGCTCCTCTCTTCACAGACTGTAGGTTGCTTTGGGATTATGTTTATCAGCTGCTTTCTGACAGCCGGTACGAAAATTTCATCCGATGGGAAGATAAGGAATCCAAAATATTTCGGATAGTGGATCCCAACGGGCTGGCCCGGCTGTGGGGAAACCACAAGGTAAGGAAGCAACGAGATTTTCCTCTTACGGCGCTTCACCTCTTGTAACATCATGGGATTAATTTATAAATGAGAAAAAAGAAGAAAGCATGTGCATATGAACTACTGCTGGAAAGTTTTAATCCTTTATTCTGCGCACATTAGAAATACAAAGCATCCAGCCTCAAGCACTGAAACCTATCCTTCATGTAGAGAACCTGTTGATTTGTCTTAAAGGCATTTAGTTATGAATGCATTTAATTATAAAATTACAAGGAGCGCAACAATTAACGGTCCTTCTCTCTCAAGGCATCTCATTCCTTCCTGGAACCTGATGCTAAGGATGTTCTGGTTAGATGTGGTCTACAAGGAGCTGTATACTGCATCTCAGCGGGATCCTTCTGTCTGTCTGCCTGTTTGCACCAACATTCAGATTTCATATGTCCTGTGACAGATATCAAATGCTGCAGGATTATGTATTTCCTTTTAAGAGGGTAATTCTGCTTTGGTCTCTGGAAAGCAGTTACAGATTTTCGTAGTTTGGGGCTGAGCATGTATAGATGTATCTATGTGACTATACACATATGAGTGTATTTATATGAGTAGTCCGCATGGATTTGCACAAGGGAAATCATGCTTGACCACCCTGATATCCATGTACGGTGAAATTATTAGCTCAATGGATGCAGGGAGGACAGTGGATGTAGTTTATCTTGACTTTGGAAAGGCTTTTGAGACTATCTCCCATAATATCCTCATAGACAAACTAATTAAGTGTGACCTAGACAAGAATATAGTGAGATAAACTGAAAACTGGCTGAACTGCTGGGCTGAAAAGTTTGTGATCAATGTCACAAAATCCACTCACTAGTGATGTTACCCCAGGGATTGATTCTGAGGCCAATACTGTTTAATGTGGTCGTTAATGACCTCGACAATGGGACAGAGCGCACCCTCAGCAAGTTCTCAGACAACAAAAAAGTGAGTGGAGTGGCTGATATACCAGAGGGTTGTGCTGCCATCCAGAGGGACTGGGACGTGGTGGAGAAATGAGCTAATGGGAATTTTCATTAAACTTAACTTAAAGGGCAATGTGAAGTGCCCACCTGGGGAGGAATGACCTGGGGAGATGAGGGACTGTACATTTCCCCTTGTTACATTTCATAAGACCCTAGGTATGGGACTGTTTTACTAGGAGAGTGGTCAGACACTGGAGCAGGTTGCCCAGAGGAGACTCTGAAGTCTCCATTCTTGGAGATGTTCAAGCCCAACTGGACACAGACCTGAGCAACCATCTCTGGTTGACTCTGAGTAGCGGGAGTGGACTAGCTGATCTTCAGAGGTGCCTTCCAACCCCATTTATTCTGTGATTCTGTATATGAGTATACATAGCCTATAGTCTTGATAAGGTCAATATTTTCTCATGTGACTCATGGCTTACAAGAATATCTGTCTTAGAGGTCTTGGGCTGCGACGCTGGGAATGGAGAGTTCTGCCTTTACCCCACTGCCATGCTGATAATCAGACCTTGCCATCATGTCTTATGTTGGATGTCTAAAACTGAAACTACTTCAGACTACTAGCCGCTTGGCAAACACAGTGGCCTTTTAGCATGTAGGAAATGGAAAAAACACACATGGTATTTCAGGGGTCTTCCCAATGAGCGGGGTCTAGATTTTCCAGGGAAAACATTGCTGTTGTTCATGTTTAATTGCCACAGGAGCTCTTTATATGGCCTCCCTCAGCAGAGCTGTTGTGGTCAGAGCAAGCAGAGGAGGTCTGCTCTTAGGAGCCATTTTAGACAGGTGGATCAGCCTGATTTAATAACGCCAGGTCAACACTACAGAGTTCTGCCTGTTCTTGGACTGACAGAGCTGTGCCAAGCCAAACTCCTAACATGGAGGCTCACAGAGGAAAAGCATGCTTCTACTAGTTTGGCGTGTTTTGCCCATGGCAAGGCGGCTGCTTTATACTCATGCAAACACGGCTTTGCCAGTGGAGTTGCCTCTCTGCTGGAAGTTTCTTTGCCAGCATGGTAACCAGCTCTCCTTGTACCAGAAAAATGGTCTTCATATAGATGTAGCCCAAGGGCCTGATCCTGCTATCCCAAGTCGGTACTATGGGGGCTGCCCATATACAGCTCTGCCAGCGCCTATCACTTCTGCCTTGTGACACTCCGCTTCAGCAAGGCCATACCTCAGTCACCCTGCAGTGCTCTGGGTATGGCCTTTGCATCAGCAGCTCCCACAATGAAGGGGAGGCTCTGTTACAGAAGCAGATGTATAACCTAATGGGCTTCTTGATTTACACCTGTATAACAAGAGGAAAAACAAGCTCTCAATCTTCACAGTGCTTTGTAAGCATTAACTAGTTAATGGAGGGGAATCCCAGAGGAACAACACTCTTAGAAGGGATTGATGACAGATTCAGTCATTAGCCACTGTTCTTAGGTTTTTACAAAAGGTGGTTTCATTAAGAACAGGCCTGTCACATCCCACTTGACATGAGCATCTCCCTCCATCTAATGGTTCCTCTTGTGGTTGATGAAGCCTTTTGTTATCTGTGATCCAAGAAACTGTAGAAAAACCTCACTTGACATTTTTGTTAGACTTTCTTTCTTAAATTTCCCTGAATGAAAGGAGACACATAAAAATTTGGTGATCGGGGCTGGAGGGACACAATGGGCCTGCCAACAGCAGAAGAGCAGAACATGTAGTTTCTTGAACTGGCTTGGTTACTTTAGCTAGCTGTGAGAGTTCTGCAACTCCTTTTGGGGCTTAGAAAGGTTTTGATGAATCATCTCACTATGTTTTTCCATTTTCTTTTGAAAAAAACAGAACAGAACAAATATGACTTACGAGAAAATGTCCAGAGCCCTACGCCACTACTACAAACTAAATATTATCCGGAAGGAGCCAGGACAAAGGCTTTTGTTCAGGTAACTTTTTCTTTTCTTTGCCATTCCTTTCTACAGACAATTAGTTTTTGAAGATGGAGGATGGAATTGTGTGTGGAATACTTCATTGCCACAGCTATAACACAGGTGACAATGGGCATATATTTGTAAAAGCTGTCTAGACCAGCTTTCAAGGAAACTGCACCAATTTACGAAAATATTTGCTGTTTCAGTGATCAGTGGAGTCAATAGACGTCTTTTCACTCACTTCAAGCAGGCTGCACCATTGTTTAAGACCTTAGTTAAAGGATTCATAATCTTAGCCAAACTGCTGGAAAATCCACTCCAAATTCACTTTCAAACACAGCTGCCAGTGAAAGCTAAGCAGGGATCAGGCATTTCCTCAAGCACACCAGCATCTCAGAAGAGAAGTGCTGATGATCATGTCTTCAGCGGTGCTGCCTTCAAGGAAGAGAGGGACCTGCAAGAGCTGTTCATAAAACCGAATGCATCGGATTGGATGACACAACCAAGAATTTAGGAAATACTGCCCGGAACAGCATTAAAGCAGGGAGTTACTTGTGCAAACTTGAGTGGGGCTGGCAGAGAGTGAGAGGACTCCAGTTCTCTTCAGACAAGACCAGCAAATCCTGGTGCGTACATCAGACCCACAGAGCACTGAACTCAGACCAAAGACTGCTTCGATGTCAGTGGTCTGGATCTAGTAATGTGCTTGGAAATGATATCAATAGGAAGGCAGTCTTGGAGTTTATTTTCTTAAATAGCTAACAGAACTGCATTAGCACTCAAACTATTTACTGCTGAAAAGGTTTCTGTGGAATGTCTTCTTTATGTCAGCTCTTAGAAGGAGACATAGATGGGGGAAGGAGAGTGAAGGGAAGAAGTAATCACAGGCAAAATCAACTGTGTGATTTTAACTTTTTTTTGCGGAAAGTTATGACACGGTTGTTCCATCAGCAGCAGTACCAAGTGAGACCAGATTGCTATGGCTTGTGTGAAGATCGCGCTGCTCGGGAGATGGTGTTGAATAGTGAATGTGCTTATCTCGGAGCCTCTCCTCTGGTGGGGGCACAAACAAAACAGGCATCCATCTCTTCTCAACCAGGCTGCCTATTTTTTCAAAACTGTAGAAACCTAATACCCTTGGAGACCTCGGTTCCTGTGTCAGACTTGTCCAAAATTGACCAACAGATTCAAAGGTCACCAAGGAGCATAAAACATGCGTGTATAAACCTCATTTCCTTCGGAAACTGGAAAAAAAACCAACAAAGCATTTCTTGCACAATTCCCAATAAAAACTTATTGGTGTTGTTTTCTTAGACCTATTTATATCTGAAGAGAAAAAGAAGAACAGCTGCAAAAAATCAAGCCATTAATGTGCCTTTCTTGGCTGTCTCTTGCAAGCACAGAAATAATGGGAAATGTGACTTTATAAGTAATGTGCACGCAGTTGTCATCTGCAGATATCTGTACAGAGCTTTAAGTAAAATGGAGTCAGAGAAGGATTTCCAATAGGTTGCCTGAGTGTCTTCTGCAGCAAAAGAGGTCAGAGATACTGTTTTCTCATTAGCTTATAGTTCTGGGTTGGTTTTTTTAAGTTTAATCAAATGCTATTACAAATACCCACAGTTTGAGTTCCTTGACATGACTTCAAACACAGACCAGAAAGAATACCCAAAATACTGCGGTACAGTTCACATCAGTCTGTTTCCCACATGGTTTAGGATACAGCACAGACAATAGGTAGGGAGGGCAGTGGGATCACTCTCTGTTTTGATTTCACCCTCATGCAAGATCAACAAGACAAGCACAGGGTTTAAATCAGGGCACAGTCTGGCCCGTAGGCTTTGGTGCATTTTCACTGTGTAGCCGGGGACTGATTCACCACTACTTTATGCTAGTTTTTCACCACCATAACACCATTTCTATCAGCAGCCTTCTTCAGCATACAAATGGGAATGACACAGCAGTGAGTCACAGCCCTTTTTTTTCCCCCTAAATGCATATGTCCACATGATTTCCAAAATTAGAAGCAGTGGCAAAAGGTTAGTTCCAGGCTGCACTATGCGTTTGCTGAGAGACTCCAGATTTTTCAGACGGAAAGCCCTCAGCTTTGTAACCTCAGAAGAAGGAGAGGAGGCAAGCCTTGCCCATTAGCTTCAGCAGTAATTTTTCTGGGTCAGTGATAATAACGAGGCTCCTGTCAGTTGGTTTTGTTTTCACTGGGGCAAGGATACTGAGCATATCATCAACCTGAAATAAAATCAGCTCCTCTGATTAACACATTTTGTACTGCTGAACGTTAGCCAGTACATCGTTAGTGAAAGACTGTGAAATTTTGTAACACTTCCAGCATAAACATCTCTCATCCTAATTTATCCAGAAGTACTTATGAGTTAGGAAAGTGATTTGTGTTTAAACTAGGATTTCATCCTTCCTGTGCCACTCTCTCTTCCTACGCCATAAAGTTCAGAAAGAAAAAGCAGAGCTTTTCCGTGCCATCTCTGTGCAGTAGTACACAAAAGCATCCTGGCGAAGATCAAGACTGCAGACTTGATCTGCAGGCTGGTGGATGTCCTTTCCCATTTCCTACTGCTGCCATGCCTCCCCAGAGGCAGTTTCTGTTTCTAGCCCCCTGCAGACTTACTGCATCAAGACATTAGTGCTGGGAGCCATGGCATTCATTTACAGAGGATACTGCTTCATTACAATTAGGCTTGCTACAGTCACACAGGAAGAGACTGTCTTTGCTCACAGTGCCCTAGCCCCAAAGCTTTTTCTTTCAGGGCTTTTTCCATTTCCCAGAACTTGTTCTGACTTGGACCTTGGCTTTTTCCACTACTGTTCCTTTGGTGTTTCGTATTCCTCTTCGTTCACCTACACACAAGCCTGCAGAAACCAGTAACCCTCTGCCTCTCCACTCCAAGCATGTGCTATTGCTTTGAAATGTGCTGGCCACAAAAGTCTTTAGTGTTTCTGTCACTAGACACGGTAAATGAGTGTACCTGTGGTGTACTATCATCTTACATGACAACAGCAAACAATATGAGGGAGAACAAGTAAATATCATTCTTTGGAAAAGACTATGGAGTTTATTTCAAATTTGGACTTCAAAGGAGCAGGGGCTGAGGAGAAGCTGGGAAGTACTAAGTGATTGGGAGGATACAGCAAAGATGATTTTGGGAGCTGTAGAGCTCAGGGGGCTCAACGTCTTGAAGGTAAAAGCTGAGACCACTGGGAAATACACTTGTTTCTCTGTTTTGCAGGTTCATGAAGACCCCAGATGAGATTATGAGTGGCCGAACAGACCGCCTTGAGCACCTTGAATCCCAGGAACTGGATGAACAAATATACCAAGAAGATGAGTGCTGAAGGGAACTGGTGCACCACTTCTGTGGGTCCATGGGAGAAACATCTGCCTGGATGGCTGGCACAGTTTGAGAGGGGAAGAAACAACACAGAAGCAGTACTTGGGGTCACTGTTTAGTTTGAAGACCACACAGGACCTGAAGCACCTTAACAAAACAAACAGGCAGAAAGTGGTGCTGTCAGAAAAGTAAAGGGGAGAAAGCCTGGACTTATGCACTACTTCACTGTTCCTGCAGTCTCCCTTGAGTTCTTTCTTTCTTTTTGGTTTGTTTCAGTTTTGGGGTTTTTTGTTGGTTTTTTTTCCCTAATAAACGTGCAGTTTGACTTTCCTTATCTCACATAGGACAAGACGTCAGATTATCCTTTTTTTTTTTTTTTTTGGAAGGCTTTCCTATGGAAATAGAGCGCTCTTATTTTCTGTGCAAGTCTCATGACATAACACTGCATAAAACAATAGCAACACAGAAGGGATTTGATTTGCTCAAGGGTTACAGTTTGCTCGGATCAATTTACATGTGCTGCCACTTGGAAATGCGTTGAAGCTACCAAAAGAATTTACCACACATACTTGTCAAATGAAGAGGAGTCACCCTTCATGTGTAGGCTGGGATATCATCCTGGCATAGCTTGGGCTCCCAACAAGTCCCGCAAGTGGCTATTAACTGCTGGAATATGGACCAAAACCAATCACCTAAGTGCTCAAAAAAAAATAAATGTGACAAACCTCTGCAATAGACTGATATTGACGTTTTCCCTCCCTCTAGCAAAGAAGTGATAGAATGGAGCTGGGGGGAGGGAAGGTGGGGACAAATACATATATATATATGTGTATATATAGAAACCTTTTTTATATATGTATATATATGTAACCCCCACTATATATCCACAATGCAGAATTTCAGCTCAAAGCTTTCTATAAAAAAGTGAAGGCTGAAGCATCTGTAATTACAAAAGGGAGAGGTGTTTCTTATACCTGCTAGCAATTTTGGGGTGAAAGGTGAAGGACTGTTCCTTACATCGTAGGGAGAAAGCAGAGAGACCATCACATGGTTTGTATTACTCAGAAACCTCTCCAGGATCATTTTGTGCTGCTGGAGAGGTAGATGATTCACAAATCTGAAAACTGATGGTAGAGAACTAGAGACCAAATAGCTGTACTTATATCTTGTAATTGATTTTGGCTTTGCTTTGGGATTTGTTTTTTTTATGCCTCCCACTACCCTCCCCCACCCCACAGCTCTGCCATCAAGGGCACTTGTCTCAGCTTGCCCATTTTTAACATGATTTAAAAGACAAGAAAAAAAGAAACCTGACAGCCGTGTTCCTTTCTTGGTTTTTGGTTTCGTTCTGGTTGCAGGGTGCCCCATTTTCTTACACACCTGATTGGGTTTGCAGCACTGAGGGTGCTTTGCATGAGGTGAAGAGCTATGCCTACTTTGGTCACAGGAAGCTCAGTGGTCCTTGATGCCCAGTACAAGAGAAACTACTGGCCTTTTTCATTTCACGTTGCTTGGACCACCATAATAGGAAAGTCAGTGGTGTCCAGGTGTCCAGCGATCCATCATCAGTGGTTCTTTCGATGGAAGGAGGATCTAGTAGCAGAAACGATGCTTGCAAAGGGAGAAGATGTGCAGGAATCTTATGGTGTCTGGAAGAAAGCACATCCACACCAGTTCATTAAAAACAGAAAGCCTCTTTTATGGGAACATGCGTACCAGAAATTGAAAAAATCAATGGACTAATCTAGTCCGTTTCAACCAAAAAACAAGGTACATCCCCATGATAGAGCTTTTATTAGCTATTAAACCAACACAACATTTGATCTTACCACATATTTAACAAGAGGGTTAATCTGTCCAGGAAAAAATGGCAGTTGGCAATGAATAGTGTCCCCTACATTTAAACAGAGATAGCCCAATCTCACAAAAGGTGTAATATTGAGTCACAGGTTGTAGAAGGAGCGGCTTTGTTAAAGGGAGGTTGTGGTTTGACCCTGGCTAGTAGCAAACCACCACAACAACCCCTCACTCACCCTTCCCCCTCCCCAGCGGAAGGATTAAAGGGGTAAAGGGAAAAGAGACTCGTGGGTTGCAATAAGAACAATTTAATAACTAGACTACAATAAAATTTTAAATAATAATAAGAATGGTAATATATACAAATGTACACAAGTGGTTCACAGTGCAGCTGCTTACCACGCAATGACCAAGGCTCAGCCTCTTCCCAGCTATCAATCCCAGAGCAGAGAGAGTCCTGAAACTGCAGTCCCAGAAAAGAGGTAAGGGCCCGAGCATTTGAGACCGAGAGCTGACTGAGAGAGTGAGATGACCCTGAGAGAGGGGTGACTCAGAGGGAGAGAGAGTGGACACTTCTGGACATATCTTCATTTATAGACTGGGCATAACGTGCATAATATGGAATAGACTATTGGCCAACTTGGGTCTCAGTCCTAAACTTGAGGTCGAATCCTAGGCTAGTAACTGGGGCTGTGCTCCCTCCCAGCTTCTCCTGCCCCTGCAGACATGGGCACAGCAGAGAAGCTGAAAAGCCCTTGACTGCCCTGGTAGCAACTGTAAACATCAGTATGTTATCAGCCGCTTTCTCAGCACAAATCCAAAACACAGCCTCTCACTAGCTACTGTGAAGAAAGCCAACTCTATCCCAGCCAAAACCAGGACAAGTGTATAGACAAGCATCATACAACAAGGAGAGATTTTTCAGAGCCAGTATCGGATGAGAAATGACAGTCCCTAGACTTTTCCCAGCCACATTTTTTTATTATATCATAGTCAATACGTTACAAGTCCCAGCACATCACATACTTGACTTTTTCTGCCTCAAAAGAAAATATGTTGGAGTGTGTATCACAAAGAGTGTGTATCAGAAATATGAGCAGACAACCTGTTACCTGTCTCTGCTGTGACTCTGAAGTCCCTGGAGTTCATGAGGTTTCAGATTGGGTGACACTGAGGGACTTCATTGGTCACAGATGTGAAATTAAAGCTCCCTTTGAAACCAAGGGGCCAAGGAGTTACTCTGCTCCATCACCCTACTCAAGGGCACCCAAGTTGCGGCTGTGTCTCAGGAGCTGGGATTAAGAGGGTGGACTGAAAAGGTGAATATGAATGACAGATGAAGTGTGATCAGAAGTATCAATGTAAAGAAAGGCTCTTGTTGGTTTTTTATGTTCCTTAGGGTGTTCAGTGGTAGAAAGAAGCAAAGTTTGTGCTGAGAACGATTCATATCCTTCACTGCTTGGCTGTGACAACTCCATAACTGCATTATTTTCTTTTGCCTGCTGCAGCTGCTGTTGCGAGATAGTGAGAGGAAAAAAAAAAATATTAGGACCTTCTTGGGACCATCTATATAAAGCACTATGATGAGCCACAGGTTTTTGTCATGGCCAAGGTGCACACTGCAAAATACAGAAAATGAGAGACAATCCACGAGTATAAGCCCATATGCTCACTGTGTATGCTAGCAAACAAAGTTCATCCTCAGCACTGGGTAAGACAGGAAAAAGCAAGGAATCCTGAAGTCACACATGTTGACTTTTCTAGGGGAAATTTTGTAGAGGAAGTGTTCACCTCCACCAAAAATGCAATCACTTTCACCTGCAGAATCTAAGTCAAAGGGAAAACAATATATTTGGTGGCTGTTGGAAACTCTTCCAATTACACATAAAGGACATCTCAAGGCAACTTCTTCACTGCAATCACAGAGAAGTTCACTCAAGGCTGATGCTAGTTGGAATGAAAATAGCCTTTGAACGTGGAGCAGGCTGATCCCACAGAGGCACTTCCTGGCTGGTGCTGTCCCCTGCCTCTTACCAGGTCTGTGTGGTGCAGCAGTGAGTGGCACAGGTGACACTGTAGCTGCCAGAACTGCAGGGTCTTGGGACATGTTGTGTGAACTGCAGGATTTGAACTGCTCTCGGGGGCTTGGAAGCAAGTTTACCAGCTATGACTTAAAAACGAACAAACAGACAAACTGAAAAAACAAACCCAAAACCAAAACAGGCTAGAGTAGACAGATTCCGATCTACCTCACATCCAGATGGCAGATACATGGAGCGCAAACGCAGCATTAATGTGCTGAGCTACAGGAACACTTGGCTGCCCATCTGGGCTAGCAAAGGTAACACTGTCTTTCTACTGACCCTGACACCCGCCTTCCCTCCCCATTTGCTGATTTCCCGGTGTAGAATTTGCCAGCAGCAAAGCAGACAAACTTTCTGCCTTTGGCACCAAAGAAAGTTGGAAAAGGGAGAAAGAGTCTCATCCTTGGGAGACACACAAGAGCCATCCGGAGATGGTCCTGGGCAACTGGCCCTAGGTGGCCCTGCTTGAGTGGGGGCAGGGGGTGGACCAGATGACCTCCAGAGGTCCCTGCCAACCTCAACATTCAACAAAGGATCTTCACATCATGCAGTTAAGTGGGACCTTCATTGCTGTCAGCTTGCTACAAGTCTGAACAAGCCCCAAGTCAATCAGGTAGGACACGTTGCAGTTCCACAGCAGAACATTTTCTTGATTTGTTTGAAACCTTTTGACTGCCTCTCCATGCAAAGAACACTACTGGGGCCCTTTCTGCGAACACTAAGTTGCTGCCACCCTTCCCAGATTTCAAACTCCATGCATGCATTCTCCAGATCTCTTTGTCAGACTGCAACCCTGTGCAAATCCAGAATGCATCAGTTCAAGGTCTTTTTTTTTTTTTTTTTAAGTAAAAGTCTAGTCTGTTTTTATTGATTATGGCTTTTTGGTTTTTTAAGGTGTGGGGCTAAGGGACTGAATCAAATGAATGTAACAAAACAAAAACAAACAAGCCTATTCTCAGGGCCAGTGAATTGCAAATAATTTTTAAAATGCCTGTAATTACATCATCTCAATAAAGAAATTTAGTATAAAAGTGGCAATGCTAAATTTTTTTGGTGCAATCATTGCTACAAGGTCCTTTCTTTTTAAAAACTATGGTACACAAGTATCTACAGCACGTAGTAGCTGGTTTCAATCAGGAAATGAAAGTTGCAGGCTTCCCATGCCCAAACATGTATGAACAGTGCCTGATTCTTCCCTGGGAAGGACTGTTTGGAAAAGTTAAGGCTGTCCCTTGGAGTATTTACTTTGCTGCTTGCCCTTAGAGATTAGCAGAGCACGCCACTGGTGCCTAGATGGGAGTGCCTGCTTCTCCTTCCTTCTCCTGGAGAGGATATAGAAGCAAAATCCAAAAATGAGGTGGTGGGGTGACTGTTGCGTCTTTTTTATCCTGCTAAACAGGACAGGTCAAGGAGTTTGAGAGCAGGAAGTTTTTCTGTAGTATTCATCTTTGCAAACCAGTCTAG